CGTGCGTGCGTGCGTGCGTGCGTGCGTGTGTGTATGGTTTGTGTGTACATGTGTGGGCGTTCGTGAGTGTGTGTGCATGTGTGTGCGTGTGCGTGTGTGCGTGCGTGAGTGTGTGTGTGTGTGCGTGTGTGTGCATGTATGTGTGGTGTGTGCTGCGTGTATGTGTTGCGTGCGTGTGTGTGTGTGTGTGTGTGTGTGTGTGTGTGTGTATTTGTGTGTGTGTGTGTGTGTGTGTGTGTGTGTGTGTGTGTATTTGTGTGTGTGTGTGTGTGTGTGTGTGTGTGTGTGGTGTGTGTGTGGGTGTGTGTGTGGGTGTGTGTGTGTGTGAGTGGTGTGTGTAAGTGGTGCATGCGCGCCGCACGAGTGTCTTCAAAGTAGAAAAGCCCTTCATAGAAAGAACTGCTAGAGTAGAAACTGCCAGTATTTGCCAGAAAAGGCACAGTTTTGCTGCTAATTATATTTAAAAGTTTAGAGGAGATACCCATGAGTATGTTTCTATTACAATTCTTGTAAGTCCTTTTTTAGAATTAAATATTTAAAGTAGTGAGTACTACTCATTTTGAAATATCCACTGAATAACTTTGATAAAAAAAAATCGATTGCATTGTCTCTATTTATGATAAGTCGCGCTATTGCTGCCCAAACGCATACTAAATGCGTATTATCGTATCTTCAGATATGCGTGCGCGCGTGCTTGGTACCTTGAAAAGTAAATCGTTATTTGTATGAATTATATGTTTAAGGTAAAGAGTGCATACCGCATTCTGGTTTGATAGGGAAATTTAGATCTTAGTCTAAATGACAATTATTATCTGATAAGCAAAACGTTATTACGCTTTATTCTCGTTGACAGTATCATATGCCCTGTGCCTGGACCGTACATTCATGGCATATGTTGAGGACAACATTGACACCTCCTACAAAGGGAGTACGTTCCTCATAACTGATCACGAGGGCTACGGAGTACGCCGACTACAGCCCCTTCGGGAGGTTATAATGTGACGACTCTGCGTTACTTCCAGATGGTGTCTTCCCAACAAACCAGCGCCGGATTGTCAGAGTACGATGTTCATTTAATTATCCGCGCCCGCCGTTAATCACGGGTTAGCTCTAAGCCATAATTTTTGCGATAGGATGTTCTAAAATACAATGCCTTAGTAACGAAGCACGAAAAATCGGCGGCAACCCTGGGAATTCACGTACGGTCTAGCTTGACCGACCTAGCAACAGTATCTAAGAGTGTGTGGTTATCCTGCGCAAGCGCAGGAGGACAAATGCACGCAGTGTAGTCGCCATTTAATGGCGAATAATGCAATTAAATGACCATGGATATTATGATCAATTAGACGTCTCAACAATGGCTTTTTAATTAGGCTTCTCAAAGCCACTCACTGGGCCAATATCTAATAGATAGGGCCTACTTATCAAGCGCCAATAACAACATAAGGTTTATAAACTGGGAAACGGGAAAGTAGTGCTACGTATAATGTACTTTCACCGCAAAATTGCTTCTATTTAAATCTAAAGTCTAAAATGAGTTAGTAGATAGTATTGTAGATAGTACTGCCATTAAAACGGACGCGCGTTTTCTCCTCTCTGGATCGAGATCAACCGCCCTGGTCTCCACGACGCGTCTAGCTGAGATATCGGATTTGCAATCTCATAGCTCATCAGTCCGCCTTAACGGGGTGGATCGAGTACGCTATCGACTTCCAACACACATCTCTGCGCGCACCATGGACTCTACATGTTGATTTTGCTTTGACACTACCACATTGCGGTCAAATGGCGAACTCCCACGGATCAACTGCCTAAGTCACACGCCTTACGTAATAACCTCTTCCGTCCACGCGGCAAAAGTCAGCTATATACGCCTCTGTAGCTGGTCTAGTCAACATCACACTGTGACTCGCCCGCCAGAGGTTCACTTCCGCCGCGTGGGTTTTGAATGAAAAACGCCCGTAAGATAAAAACCCGCTCGAAAACGGAATACGAGACGCCATTGTGACCATTCACATGTAGAACCATTACCACTACGCGGAGGACGCGCCCCCCCCACTACGATGAGCTTCCATCACCCCCATTGGCCAGGTCCGACAGCAGTGGGTCCTTCCTAGGTACAAGGGACTGCGAGCATAGTCTAGTGAGATAGATGGATGGATGAATAGATGGATGGAATGCGATGATGGTGATGGATTCGATGCGCATAGTGGCATGGATGGATGAATAGCGATAGATGGATGCGATGGAGTGGATGGATGGATGGCAGGGATGATGGATGGATGGATTGGATGGATGAGATGGATGGATGGATGGTGGAGATGGGATGGATGGATGGATGGATGGATGGCATGGATAGATGGATGCCGATGGATGGATGGCATGGATGGATGGATGGATGCGATGGATGGATGGATGGATGGATGGATGATGGATGGCATGGTTATGGATGGATGATGGAGGATGGATGGATGGATGGATGGATGGGATGGATGGATGCGATGGATGGATGGATGGAATGGATGGAGGATGGAATGGATGGATGGATGGATGGATGGATTGGATGGATGGGATGGATGATGGATGTGTGGATGGATGGATGGATGGGGGGATGGATGGACGGATGGATGGATGGATGGATGGATGGTGGATGGATGGATGATGGATGGATGCGATGGATGGATGGATGGATGGATGGATGGATGATGGATGGATGCGATGGATGGATGGATGGATGGATGGATGGATGGATGGATGATGGATGGATGGATGGATGGATGGATGGTGCGATGGATGGATGGATGGATGGTGGGAGCGGCATGGATGGATGGATGGATGGATGGATGGTGGATGGATGGATGGAAATGGATGGCGATGGATGGATGGAGGGATGCGATGGATGGATGATGCGTGGATGGCATGGATGATGGATGGATGGATGGATGATGGATGGATGGATGGATGGATGGATGGATGATGGATGGATGGATGGGATGGATGGCATGGATGGGATTGGATGGATGGTGGATGGATGGATGGATGGAGGATGCCGATGGATGCCGATGGAGGATGGATAAATGGATGATTGGTGGATTGTGGATGAATGGCGCATGGATGGATGGATGGATCGGAGGGAGGATGCGATAATATGGATGGATCGGGGTGTCCTGGGGCTTTTTTTTCTTTATGATCTTGATGGATAAAGGGATGGATAGTGGATGATTGCGATCAAATGGATGCATGCGACGCCACAAAGACGGACTAGACGGACGGACGGACGGACGGACGGGACGGACGGACAGATGCGATGGATAGTGGCATGGATAGTGGATAGATTGAAGGTTGAATAATGCGATAGATGGAAGGATGGAATTGGCGTGGATGGATGGATGGATGGATGGATAGTGGATGCGATAGTGGGAGGGATGGATGCGATGGATGATGGATGGATTTGACGCGGCGAACGGACGACGGACGGACGCGACGGCGACAATAGATAGATGCATGGTAGTGGATGATAGTGGATGATGGATGCGATGATGCGATGCCGGTGGGTGCGGTGTGTCGGCCGGCCAGCACGGTGGCTCCCGGTCAGGTAAGCGAGCGCGGCTTGGCGGCTGCTGCGGCCGCGGTCGGGGACGGGGGTGGGCCGGGGGGCCGGGGCAGCCGCTCGGGCCGGGGGCGGTGCTGCGCTGGTGCCGGTGGCGCGTCGGGCTGTGGGCTGGGCGGACGCGAGGGGCTTAGCGACCGCCGCTGCCTTGTCGCGACTCGGTCTCGCGGGGGGGCGTCTGAGGGTGCGGCGGGGGGTCAGCGGAGGGGTGGTTGGCGTCCGCGCTCGGGGACGGTGCGGGCGGCTGGGGTCGGGAGTGCAGGGTGCGCCCCGGGGTCGGGGGGGGCGGCTCGCCCGGGGAGGGGGCGGGCCGGGTGGCGGCTGGGCGCGCTGCGATGGCCGGGCGTGCTGTCGGGGGACGGGCCGGCGGCGCCGTCGCGCGCGGAGGCTCCTGCGCGGTCCCTATGCGTGGTCCGCGGCTGCCGCGGGGCGCTGGGCGGGCGGCTCTGGCGCCGCGTGGATGGCAGGCATGCGAGACTGGATGGATGGATGGCGTGCCGGTGCCGATGCGTATGGATGGATGCGATGCGATGGCATGGATGGATGGAATGGATGGATGATGTCATGGATGCGATGGATGGATGGATGGATGGATGGATGGAGGATGCGATGGATGGATGATGGATGCGGATTGGATAGGATGGATGGATGGATGGATGCGATGATGGCATGATAGATGGAATAGGATGTGTGGGGATGGGATTAGATGGAAGGATGGATGGATGGTGCGATGGATCGGATGTTGATGCGATGGATGGGATGGTGCGATGGAGTGATGGGGAGATGGATGGATTGGATGCGATGCGATAGGATTGGTGGATGGCATGGATGGCTGGAGGGTATGGATGGATGCGATGGATGGAATGGATGGGATGGCGGATGGATGGATGGATGGATGGGGATGGATGGATGGATAGATAGATGGATGGATGGATGGTTAGATGCATGGATGGATAGATAATAATAGGTTTATTACATAACTTTAAAAATACAACGTAAATTTGAGAAAAAACGACATTCGGATCACTCACCGTAATATAAAATTACAATAAAGATGTTTACATCGCATTCAATGACATCATTTGCTCTACTAAAATGAAATCCGTATAATTAAAAGAGGAACCACAAAACAGCATATATAGAAGCTTCATGTAAATCAAAATAACAAAATATATATCTATTGAAATATATCTATCAAAATGTAAAATACTAGCGTAGTTGCTCATGAAATTTAAAATATTGTAAGGGTTATACATTTCCAATGTGTGTCCAAGTGTTTTGGAAGACGTAGAAACAAAATCGCGTTATATAGAGCAAATGAAGCTGAGGGTCTCTTGTCCGATGTGTTGACACCGAGGGCGGAGTTTGTTGGACCGTGAATTAGGAGTGGATATGGTTCGTGGTGAGGGTAGTGTCGTGATTAAATATTAGGTGCTTAGCACGCGATTGTTTTTGGACCTATTTGAGTTTCGCGCTAAAATGTGATCAAAGTTTGGTAGTACTTTAGCGGGAGCGACTTGCGTGACAGAAGAGAGTAGTGAAAAGTGGTGGCAGGAGAGTTCTTCTGCAGCAGTTCTTTGATTATGGCCTAACAGAATAAGTAATGCGTACAACGCGCGGGCAAACTGAGCGAAACGATTGCGTTGCTTGTTCGTTACTGGAGACATGACGACACGGTTTGTTTTTTGTTTTAGTTAAACGCTGCCCAATGTTAGGCGTCCACTCACGAACATGAGACCTGCCGTCAACTGCCATCGACGAAGACCCACCTACAACTCCAAGGTCAGTCACTCATCCACGGGGATCGTGTCAGAAACTCGTAGCTGTGCGATATGAATGATAATATTCTCATTATCTCCACAGACCATACTTACCGCTAGCCAGACCTTAATGTTTCTCCGTCAACGGGCCCCTATATCGATCATCATTCAGCCGACCTCATATATATATATATATATATATATATGTGTGTGGTGTGTATATATATATATATATATTTATATTATTATATATATATATATATATTTATATATATACCTATGTATGGAAATATTCTGTAAGGTACAACCGAAAGACCTCGGCTACAAACTACAACATCACTTCTAATTGTGATTCTGCGGGATTTACATCGTCAGCTTTAATTACAGATCTCAAATCTCGATCTGACACAAGAGATCGAATTACTCTATATACCCCTTTCAGGGCGCGATTCAGGATTTTTTTTAAAGAGGGTTGTCCAGGAAGAAATAAAGGGCACTCTTTCCTGCTCAATTTTTCTGGAGTTTTAAAAAGCTTATGCGACTTGGGGGGGGGGGGGACCTCCCCCCCCAAAAAAAATTGGGTGCATTCTGAGCAGCATCTGAGCAGTAATATTTTAGGGCACTTTGAAATTAAAGGGGCGGTCCGCGACCCCCGGACACCCCACCTAGATCCGCCCCTGCTCTTTAAACACTTGTTGATACAACTTTTAGAAGTTGAAAACGGTAAAAATAGCCTACCCGATGTTATTTTGATGCGTGTACACGTGCTGTAACGCCAAACGATTCACAGATTACTTTCGAGTGCGGCATTGGCTATCACTATGCAAGGTACAACCGAAAGACCTCGGTACAAACTACAAACATCACTTCTAATGTTGATTCTGTGGATTTACATCGTCAGCTTTAATTACAGATCTCAAATCTCGATCTGACAAGAGATCGAATTACTCTATATACCCCTTTCAGGGGCGGATCCAGGATTTTTTAAAGAGGGTTGTCCAGGAAGAAATAAAGAGCACTCTTTCCTGCTCAATTTTTCTGGAGTTTTAAAAAGCTTATGCGACTTGGGGGGGTGACCTCCCCCCCAAAAAAAATTGGTGCATTCTGAGAGCATCTGAGCAGTAATATTTTAGGGCACTTTGAAATTAAAGGGGGGGGTCCGGACCCCCCGGACACCCCACCTAGATCCGCCCCTGCTCTTTAAACACTGTTGATACAACTTTTAGAAGTTGAAAACGGTAAAAATAGCCTACCCGATGTTATTTTGATGCGTGTACACGTGCTGTAACGCCAAACCGATTCACAGATTACTTTCGAGTGCGGCATTGGCTATCACTATAGCAATGACGACCGTACACGAACGTTTACTTGTCTAGACGACCAGACGTGGTCTCCACCCTATGTCCCCTGTGAGAGTAAGTATGGGCACGACCTAATCCTATTTATGTTACTACTTGGTTAATATTGGTTAATACAATGACCTTAATCCCAATCCTAATAATAATTCTAACCTAATCCTAACGTCACTGTTTATGTAGGAGGAGCTCTAACGTAGGATTTAATATCAAACAATAGTGAAACTGTCATCAATAAATGTCATTCTTGCTGTATGATGTCGATCAACGACTTTTGCACAATTGCTCAATTGCTGCCCAGCATTCCAAAGATACGTGCTTCTATGCAGCATAAATAACGTTGACGTTGACGCTACTCCCGTATGTTGTTGTGTTTTTTTTTTTTGCATCAGTCATCATCTGCCCGCCGGTGCCCGAGATGCCGTTTGCCACCCTGTCCAACCAAAGTAGCGACGAGTCGCGCTTTTACGACAAGTACGTTCAAATCTCGTGCTTCATTGGTTACGAGTACTCGGACACGGTGGAGACGCTGGATGTGAGATGCACGGATGCCATAACGTGGGAGCCATCGCCGATAGGCTGCATCAGTAAGTGTTGCAGAGTTAAATCTATTTCTTAATCACGGACTCATTGATATATGAATCCATCTATTGATCATACACTCAGAGATATATGAATCCATCTCTTGATCATACACTCAGAGATATATGAATCCATCTCTTGATCATACACTCAGAGATATATGAATCTGTCTCCTGATCCTACCCTCAGAGAT